GCTTGAATTCTGTTTTCACTGGTAAGTGCTGGGACTTCTAAAAATTTCCAAACGAAATAATTGATAAAATTGGTAGTCCAGGAAAGTTCTGAAGCATAATACAAAAGAATCCACCAATACATTTGAGAACTATGATATTACCAATACTAGAGTATCTGTTGTTTACATTCCCCTGTTTCCTATTCATAGGTACCCACCATTTGGAATTTTGTGCCCATCAGTCTTTCGGTTTTTGTGGGGGAGGGGGTGGTGTGGATAGCTTTGGGTTTTTTTGTTGCTTTTTTGAGATGGAGTCTCGCTCCCGTCCGTGCAGGCTGGAGTGCAGTGGCACGATTCTCCTTCCTCAGCCTCCCGAGTAGCTGGGATTACAGGCATCCACCCTCACGCCCCGTTTATTTTTGTATTTTTAGTGGAGACGGGGTTTTGCTGTCTAGAACTCCTGACCTCAGGTGATCCTCCCGCCCCAGCCCCCACAAAGTGCTAGGATTACAGGCGTGAGAAACCGTGTCTGGCCCATTTTTTAGGCTTTGTGAAGACAGGATTATGCATGTTGTCTGCAGTTCCTGTGAATCATAATATTAAAATGAAACATTTTTGTTTCAGTTAATTTTTTTAATTACTCAAAACCAGTAATTTATATTCCTAATATTGATTGTGTGAAATATTTTCAGCATTTCAGCACATGAAAATGATTGTTTTGCAAGGTCCAACCTTGTATGTCTTAATAAATCATTTCCTATTGCTGCCTGGCTCAATGATGTATTCTCCTGCGGTGCTGTATGACATGATTTTTTACCCCAGTCCATGTTCTTTGCAGTGTTTTGTTAACTTGGGACTTAATTTTACAGGCATGTGTCCAGTAAAAATGCCAACGTAGGTATCCCTGCTCCAAAACTGCTAGGTTTGCTGTTTTAATGTTTTTAGGTGAAGGTCTTCACGCCAGTTTTTATACATCTAACCTGGCTCATAGCTCATCCTCGTCGAGCTGTGAGACAGAAAAGCAATGGCTGTGTACTCACTATGACCATTGTGTCTTAAAGTCAAAACTGTCACAGTGAAGGATATCATAAAATGTTTCTGCCATTTTCCAGCCAGTGCTAATGGCTCCTGTTTCCAGTTTGGAATAAGCTAATTTGTGGAATTATTAGGTGGTAATCAGACAAACATACTCAGTTACAGAGGTTTGGGTTTGTCAGTATTGACTATCAAAAAAGCAGAAACAGGTACTAGAATAATAGTACTTTTTTATTAAAAAGTGGGTTTGGGAGTCTGAAAGGTAGATTGCAAGTACAGTTCCTAAAGGAATGAGATTCTCTTCTTGGACCATTCCTACATATAAGATGCCAAACAAAATGCAAATAAAAATGGGAATTCGAAATATAATATTTAATTTCCAGGTGCAAGAAAGCCTTTGCGGTGAAGGTGTATGAAGGTCATCATGACAAATGTTTTCCAAAAACTTGTAGAAGGCTGTGAAAAAACTACTAGGATCACACGTCATGTATTGAGGTACCTAAATTTAATTAATGTTAGTTATGTGATGTATTCTTGACAGATAGGTTTAATAGCTGGCACAGTGATGACTTAAATTACTTTTTGCCGTTTACCCAGCTGAGGGTGTCTTTGAAGAAATAATTTTAAGACTGAGATGCCAGTAATGTACATTGATTAATTACTGACAGGTATGTAAGGCAATAATTTAATTAAGGGTGAATATTCTTTCTTTTTAGCATATAGGTTGCTGTAGATGAATGTTCTTTGCTGTCATGTTTAAAAATACTTCTGCTTCATTGCCTCAAGTAAGTGATTTGTCAAGCAACTCTATCTGCTGATAGTTCAGAAAGTATCTGATAAACTTCAAAGGGTGGGGGCCAATTCTTGTTGAAGTTGCTTTTGCATGTGGGGTATTCTCAACATTTAAGTTTTTGAGGAACGACTTGTGAATATTGAGGTTATATGAGAACTTTGAGTATGGAATGATTTTCACTGTTGGTTTCTGACTTTGTTTTGGAGGTGTGGCATGCAACATTTTGGAAGGAAAATTGAAGACTTGTTCAAGAAAACACGAACAGAAGCAAATGATGAAAATGAGCATTTTATGTGATGTTGATAACATCACAATAAATTATGGAGAAAAATACATATTTGGCTAACTGTTTTAATTGCTGAACAATAAAGTGTTTTCTTTTAAATCAATTCTAAATAGCTCCATTCTCATAGTCACTAGTCAGACCTGTTTTGAACATATTCGAAAGATTATATAATCTTGTGAATAATTAGATTATTTATGGGTGGTGATTCTCATTGAGGCCAACAGCTGGGGAGACATGTACCTCTAGGTTCCCTGTCTGGCTCCCCCTTCAGAGTTTGCTGTTGTACCAGATGGTTGGAATCTTAAAGCTCTTTAATGCCAAATAGCAATCAAATTCCCCCTTACAGATAAAGGTTTCACCTTTTTTATTCAGTTTGCTTTCATCTTTGTGAACAAAAAAGTCATCCTAATACTAGTACATGTAATAACTAAGCAATATGCTATGTTAAGAGAAATGACTGGGCAGGCCAATCTGTCTAGGACTAAATTGGCAAGAATTCTAAAGCTGAATTTATATCTGGGTGAAGGCTTAGAGCTAAATCTTTTCTCCTGTTGAGTACTAGCTTATAAATTCCTTTCACCAAGGTTATAGTTTTTATATGATAAATGGTATAAAACCTGTATAGCAACATCTTAGTCACTTCCCTCAGTATAGACTTGGGGGGTACAAGTGCAGTTCTGTTGCATAGGTATATGAAGTAGTTTGGAGTCTGAGCTTTTTGTGCAGCCATTACCTGAATGGTGTACATTTCACCCATTAATTTTTCATCCCGCACCCTACCCCCTTCTAATTCTCCAATGACCTTTAAAATACCATTGGCATCATATTTAATATTAATGAATTACCTCCCATAATTGTTTCTGAATGTACACTTCTACTCTTTAGGCACTGAAATAAAAGACTAGTAAATGCAGCCTTTGTAATGAGAAACTTAAACATTTAAATTTTTTTGTGGTGAAGTAACTATCTTTGAGACAGGTTGGGTTTTTTGAGCTGGAGAGATTAAGGTGGCAGTGAGTTATGACTGCATCAGTACGCTACAGTTTGGGTGACAGCTACATATAAATATGTATATATAAATATAGGTAAGTAAATAAAAGCCATCTTTGTGCCATGCATGTGGCTCACTCCTGTAATCCCAACACTTTGGGAAGCTGAGGTACTGAGATGGGAGGATAACTTGAGACCAGCCTGAGAAACATGGCGAAATCCCATCTCTACAAAAAAACACAAAAGTTAGCCCAGGGTGGTAGCATGTCCCTGTAGTCCCAGCTACTCGGAGGGCTAAGGTGGGAGAATTGCTTGCAAGGTCAAGGCTGCAGGGAGCTGAGATGGCGCCACTGCCCTCCAAACTGGGTGAGAGCCCCTGTCTCAAAAAAAAATTTAAAAAAAAACTGTTTTTAAACTTTCCAATTGTAAAAGGATCCTAGTTTTATAAAATAGGAATGTGTTTTGCCTTCACCCCATAGAGAGCTAGACATGTTTGAAATGTAGTATTTGAGAAGCACAAAATAAACGTCTTAACATTCTAGAACTGTAATATGTAAATATTTTGCTGAAGACTACCTTTGTCACCAGGTGCGTTGGCTCACACCTGTAATCCCAGCACTTTGGGAGGCCAAGGCAGGCAGATCACCTGAGGTCAGGAGTTCGAGACCAGCCTGGCCAACATGGTGAAACCCTGTCTCTACTAAAAATACAAAAATTAGCCGGTCATGGTGGAGTGCACCTGTAATCCCAGCTACTTAGGAGACTGAGGCAGGAGAATCTCTCGAACCTGGGAGGTGGAGGTTGCAGTGAGCCAAGATCGTGCCACTGCACTCCAGCCTGGATGACAGAGCAAGACCCCGTCTCAACAAAAATACTACCTTTGGCTTCTGAAAACTAATACTGTTTTCTCCCTGCTACTAGTAGGTATTCAATAATACTGAACAACTTCCTCTGGGTCCTGTGGAGAATGAGAGGTCCAGCTGTATAGTTAAGCATCTCTGTTAAGGGACCAATTTTGAAAGAATTGATGCATGGTAGCATCTTGGTTAATAAAGTGACAATTTGGTAATGACATTTTGCTTTTCTGTGAATAGAACTGATCTTTTATTAAAGTTATGGAAACTGAACTAAAAAGGATTTATAAATTTTACAAGGTAGATTTGTTTTCTCATGATACCCCTATCTTCACAGCAGATATCTTCCCTCCAAAAATGAGGACTAGATTTGCAAGTTGGTTTCTTTGCCTTTTGGAACCTTTCTTGTAACCAGTTAGGGTTAGAGAGCCACTTTATAAGTTATTGGCTCCTTGATTCCGTGTAAAGTATTTTTTCATTTAACCTGGCATATACATGAAAACTTCCAAGGCTTTTCCTGATTCCATATTTAGGGCTTCTAAAACAGTAGTATGTAATGGACATGCCAGTAATAAAGCATGAAAAGGCCTTACATTTGAAACTTGGGGTTATATAAAATATTTAGTCATGAGTTTAGCAAGTTCACTAGTGAAGAAAAATGTTTTAATTTGTAGGTAAAGAGTTATTGCCATCTTGTGACAGTAGAGTGAACTACATAAATGTTGACATTTTACACACTGCTTAAATTGCAACATTCTTTATATTTTTATCTGTTCACCACTGGTATTCTGGGCTAACCAGTTTTTCTTTATAGTATTCTCCTTGACAACTTTATCACTATTAAATTGTCCACATTGTTCTAAGTTTTAAAATTCTGTTGGTTTTAGAGGTTTGGATTAGTATTTATCACATTAGCAATTAGTTTTGAGGGGACTATATTTTATATTTTTAAAAATAGTATTGTAATATATTCCTGTACAAAGTATTATCAAAGCATTACTTCAAAGTCACTCTCAAAATACTCACACTTTTTCTCCACTGCTTAAGTAGGAATGAACAGAAATTCCTCAAATTGTTTATTCATCACTAGAGAAAATAGTTGTCCCAGGTCCATATGTGGCAATAAATTGTTCCAGCTGTTGTTGGCACTGAGTTAGATAGAGATCCCTTTGCTCTAAGTATTCTTCATTATACAGTTCAAATGGAAATACTGCATTCGGAGCAACACAAAATGCAGTGGCCCCTAAATGAAGAAGATAATAGAGTGTAAATGACAAATACTGCTTAAGATGACAAATATGAAATCACATTTTCAACCAAAATATTTTATTGGAATCTTAAAAATTAAGCCCAAGCCCATGTGGTTCTGTGAAAAATAAAAGTTAAAAAATTAAGTTTTGACCTATTCAGAAGAGTATTTCAATAACCATTATTGAAATCTGACTCTTGTTTTCTGAAACCCAGAAAGCAGGTTCAGTAAATGCACAAACATTGGTACCAGGGCCAATGGAAGAAGTATGTTGATGTTTATAAAGTTTAGAACTAGAAATTTGTCTTCTACTGAAATAGTCATTATAGTTTTGAAGCTGACTACTGATGTGAGGACGTGACAGGAGTAGGGAGAAAAGGTACTGGAAAGCAGGGAAACACTAATCTTTATTTGATTAAGTGGATGATCAAAGATAAAGACATTGTAGTACATTTCTCAGTTGTTTAACCCATTTACATAAAGGCAGACACATAAATCTATGGAAGGGTTTCAAGACCATTCTACGGGAAAGGACAGACTCACTTTGGATTTGGCAATGATTTCCTGAATGTGACATCAAAAGTACAGGCACCAAAAGAAAATATACATAAATGGGACCACATCAAAATTTAAAACTGCATAAAACAATACAACCAACAGTGAAAAGACAACCCATGGAATGGGAGAAAATACTTGCAAATCATATCTCTGATAAAGGGGTCTATAAATCCACAGTAAGAAAATAATCATTAAAAAATAGGCAGAGAACTAGTCATTTCTCTAAAGAAAAACGACCAATAAGCACACGAGAAAGATGTTCAACATCACTAATCATTAGGAAAATACAAATCAAAACTACGATGAGCTACCACCTCACACCCATAAGGATTTATTATAAAAATAAAAAACAGAAAATGACAGGTGTTGGAGAGGATGTGGAGAAATTAGAAGCTTTGTGCACTGTTGGGAATGGAAAATGGTGCACCCACTGTGGAAAACAGGATGGCGGCATCAGAAAGAGTAAACAATTACTGTATGATACAACAATTTCACTTCTGGGTATATACCCAAAAGAATTGAAAGCAGGGTCTTAAAGAGATATTAGCACACCCATGTTCATAGCAGTGTAATTCACAATAGCCAAAGGTGGAAGCAACAGAAATGTCCATTGACAGGTGAATGGATAAACAAAACATTGTATTTACATACAATAGGATATTATTCAGCCTTAAAAAGGAAGGAAATTCTAATACATGTACAATATGGATGAACCTTGAGAACATTATGCTAAGTGAAATAAGCCAGTCATGAAAGGACAAATGTATGATTCCACTTATATGAGGTACCTAGAATAGTCAAATTCATAGAGGCAGTAGAGTGATGGTTCCCAGGAGGAGTAGAGGAGGAAATGAGGAGTTATTGTTTAATGGGTACGCAGTTTCAGTTCGAGAAGATGAAAAAGCTCTGGAGACGAACAGTGGTGATGGTTGCACAACAGTGTGAATGTGAATGTACTTAACACACTGAACTGAACATTTTAAAATAGTTAAAATAAGTAGATTTTATGTATATTTTACTTCAATTTAAAAATTGACCATGAAGAGATAAGCTCTTCTCCTTTATTCATTAATTCATTGAACAAGTACTTAATGTGACAGGCCAAGAGTACAGTCTAGCAACTGTGCCAGGCAGTGCCCACCTTCCTAGAGCCTCATAAGAACAGCCTCAGACTTCTGACTGCTTCCTTTCCTACCTGACCTTCTCTGAAAGCTTACTATCCCTTAAGAACACTGCTTTCCTTGTGCCTCTCCAAAATGAAGCTATTTTTTCCCAAACATCCCATATACACAGTGTCACAAGACACAGTCAGAACCTAGCTTGCTGCCCCTCTGCTGCCTCCAGACCATTCTTGCCCATGCTTCCCTTTTGGTAAAAATCCTTTCTTCTTTGATGTTCAGTGCCACCTGGTTTTACTGTCCTTCCCCTTCTATAGTCAACCAGCAGCTCTCAGCACTTTGCTCAAAATCTTTCTTTCTTCCCTAATACCTGACATTCAGTGATTTTCATGTGGATGACCCATTTAACTCCCTTGCGATGTCCCACCTTTCCCTTCCGCCTCAGCCATACATCCCACAGTCACAGGAAACTAATATCACCAGAAACTTACTTCAAAACCTTGAGTTCCCACTCACTTCAAAACCACAACCCACTCCCCTACTCTACCTCCTATGCTTCCAGTTCACTTGCTCAAATGTTTCAGGTCTACTTCAGAGACCTCCAATCTGCTTCCTCTAATTCACTTTCTTCGTTAACCAGCTTAAAAGTCCCTCCCTTTAAAAGTCCCCCCACTCCTTTGCCCCTCAGCACCACTCTGCCACACTCACTTATCAAAACCTCAACTCTGCACGAACCCAACCATTCACCTTGTGCTGGCACGAAGGCTGCTAGGCAGAAAATCACACAACTGGCATTTCTTCTTTTCTCTTTAAGTGAATCACAGTAACTCTAAACAATCACCTGCCTGGCAAGCCTGCTGAGTTTCCCTCGGACACTTCTCTTGTAGCCCCAACAATGACTATTATATTCCATTCTTTGCTCCTCAAACCTTTCATTTTCAGCTAATAACATCAAGTAAAGTATATGGCCAAACTTACAAACCTACCTGGTTCTGTATCTGTTTTCTTCCCATCTGTAAAATGAATAAGTGACCCATTTATCAGAGGCCAATACATGTACCCTGGATCCTATCCCCTCTCACCCTTTTTGTAGTTCACTCGTTGATCTTCCTGTCTTTCTGTAGTGTTATTAGTTTACTCTCTACTGCACATCCTACGATTTTATACCTTCTATCTTAAAAAAAAAAAAAGTTCCTTTCTGAACAACACATCCTTCTCCAGTGATTCCCTCATTTTTTTTCCTCATCTTCATAGTTTGTCTATGTGTGCTGTCTCTGTAGCCTCATCTCCATTCCCATGCCACTGAAATAGCTCTGATCATGGCTACCTACAACCTTTAGGTTACCAAACTGAATCTCACTCAAACTCTCAGTAGCATGTGATTCAGTTGACCACTCTGCCGCTTTCTGGAAAAACTCTCATTTCTTAGAAAATCACACAACACTTGATTTTCTTTCTATATTCTAGCTACTGCTCCTAAGCCTCCTTTGTTAGTTCCTCCTCCACAACCCCGTATAAATCTTCAAGGGCAGTCCTGGGGTTCCCACTAGTCTCTATTTAGGCGATTTCATCCATTCCTTGGCTCTGAGTACCATCTCTATGCTGGTGATTCCTAAATTATATTCCTAGGTTAGAACTTTTCTCTAAGCTCCAGATTCTTTTATCTCTCTATTGATATATCTGTAGGATATCTCCTTTAAAAAAAAAAAAAAAGCTATATATATACTCTTTTCCTCCACTGCTTAAGTAGGAATGAACAAAAATTCATATATATAACTTTTTTTTTTTTTTTTTTTTGAGATGGAGTCTTGCTTTGTCACCCAGGCTGGAGTGCAGTGGCATGATCTTGGCTCACTGCAACCTCTGCCTCCCGGGTTCAAGCAATTCTCCTGCCTCAGGCTCCCGAGTAGTTGGGATTACAGACGCATGCCACCACGCCCAGCTACTTGTCTTTTTAGTAGAGACAGGGTTTCACCATGTTGGCCAGGCTGGTCTTGAACTCCTGACCTTGTGATCCGCCCCCCTCGGCCTCCCAAAGTGCTGGTGTAAGCCACCGCTCCTGGCCATTTATTATTTTTTTTAAATTAGGGTCTTGTTATGTTGCCCAGGCTGGTTTCAAACTCTTGGGCTCAAGCAATCCTTTTGCTTTGGCCTCCCAAAGTGCTGGGATTACAGATATGAGCCACTGTGCTCAGACTATAGAATATCTCAAAGTTATATCTATAATTTGATTTTTCTCCCAGCTCTTTTTCTTTCTTTCTCCCCAGATTTGGTAATTGGCATGATTATCCACCCAGCTGCTCAAGGCAGAAACATGGGAGTTTTCCTTAATTACTCCCTCTCCTCCTTTCCCCTACCCCCAACTCTTAAATCTAGTTCATGAACACGACCTATTGGTTTTTGCATCTAATGTGTATCTCTAATTCACTAATTTCTTTCCATTTCTACTGACTCTACCTAGTCAAATCTCTCATTATCAACTAACTGGACTACAACAACTAGTCTCCCACTTTCTGCTCTTAACCATTCTCCATACCATTCTCCATACCTCCAACCCATTCTCCATACCAACTCCAAACATGGTATTTCAAAAATATAATTGATCACATTAGTTCTCTGTTCCTCACTGCACTTGGATTACAATCCCAATTTTCTACCATGGTCTGTCTGGTCTTACTTTCCTCTCTAACCTCAACTACGATGCTTACTCTGCTTACTATGTTTTAGCCACCCTGGACCTCTTTCAGTATTTTGAAAACACCTGCATATGTGGTTCCCCTCTAACTTGACTTCTCATTCTTCAGCTATTTGCTTAAATAAATATCACTTCCTTAGAGAGGTCTCCCTAAAATCCAAAGTAAGTCCCTTCCATTGTTCTTTCTCATAACATCCTGTTGATTTTCTTCATAGCATCTATCTCAATTTGTATTATATATTCATTAATGTCTTTACTTTTTTTTTTTTTTTTTGAGACAGGGTCTCACCCTGTTGCCCAGGCTAAAGTGCAGTGGCATGATCATGGCTCATTGCAGCCTCGACCTCCTGGGCTCAAGCCATCCTCCCACCTCAGCTTACCGAGTAGCTAGGACTACAGGTATACACCATCACACTCAGCTATTTAAAAAAATTTTTTTTGTACAGATGGGAGGTCTCACTATGTTGCCCAAGCTGGTCTCGAACTCCTGGGATCAAGTGATTCTCTTGCCTTGGCCTCCCAAAGTGCTGGGATTACAGGCATGAGCCATGATGCCCCGCCATGTGTTTACTCTTTTTTTTCTTTTTTCTTTTTTGAGACAGTCTCTTGCTCTGTCGCCCAGG